ATATTATATATTATGGGAAATTTAAAGCATCAGTATCACCAATAAACAAATTTATGCAAATTAGAAGAACTCGGAGATAAAAAAAATTGCTATAGTTTGTGAAATGAATATTAATAGTACTACTTTAAGATTATGTATAAGTCAACCAAACAAACTAGAAGACAGCAGCAAAGTTTAAGAGAGCTTAAATACCAAATGAGAATTGATTGTAATTCATCTCACAATACTGTACCAATACTTTTTCCTGACATTTTTCCTTTGGAAAAGGTGATACAAAATGTTACTACATAGTTATGTAACGTTACAGTCATTTGTCAATGTACAGCGCAGAGGAATAAAACTCATCACTGCTATACATGGTTTTGTATTACAGCTAACCTCATTTAGATCACAAATCATATAAACTGATATGAGGATCTGAGAGAAATATGTATTTTTCATATGTATACCTGATTCCGATTTGGCCTACTTCTTTTATAACCAAGATTTCAAGACAAAACTTTTCTGTCCTTCACCCAAAACGAGGGGCTCATGAGTAAGTAATTACATGATATGAATTATGAATATTCATTACAAAAGCATCATGAATATTTACAATAAATCAATTACTGTACAAACTAATTTATCAGCCAAGGTAAACTATGTGAGGTGAATATGAATATTATGCCAAAGAGTATAGAACTGACGTGGTTTCATTGCAACATAATCGTATTTCAAAAAGTGCTACCACGAAGGGGCATGTGTCCTACAAATGATGAATTTCGAGCAAATTCTATTTAAATTCTAATAAGGTGCCCCTATCTTGTGGTATTCCTTTTTTCAATGTTTCATTGTTTGTATACAAAATGAAGGCAGTTAGACCTCTTGCAATTCTATACTCTTTGAATATTCATTATCATGAATATTCATATGAATAATTAAGAGTATATTATGCAAGTTGCTGAATAATTACTCAACTAAATCAATAATGGTGTCAGACGAAATTGTGCTGAAATGAAAATTACATAACTTGGAGAAATTATTATGATCATAATATCTGTTTTCTTTAAGAGTCAATATTACAAACTTTTCAAAATGAAGGATATATTTGAATACAAAAAAGAATTACTTTCAAATTGTTCATGTTTCAATTTTTTTTCATAATTAATTCCATCCAATCATTGTATTTGTAAGTTCCATCACTTGTCATTTGAATAAAAACAATTTATTTACAACTTAGCTTTTCAAAAGGAAAATCAATATAAAAACAGAAACAAACAGCTGAAATTTAAGCCTCATTCCATATTACAGGGTAAACAAAACAACTTCAAACTACTGAGAATATAATTGTGTGGAATGTCCCTTTGATTTTTCTGTATGTATATGGAAATGGAAGGGTCATAGTTCATGCATGGAAGATTACTGGAATGTGTGTTCCTTGTTTATGTGTTGTCTAATTTGTTGGAATGAACTAAAATTCATTATGCAAATTTCTATGGATGTATAAACAAAACACAAAGCTTTGTAAGTTTTCAAATATTGCCTGTAATATGACCATACCTCAAAAAAAAAAAAAAAAACTCAACAATTACTTATTGAATAAATTCTGATAACATTTTTTAGATTTTGGAATACATCCATCAATTTTAACTCTGAGTTACCAAACAACATAATTCAAACAAATATTATACTGTAGGCCAAAAGCCCCAGCACCAATTAGTTATTTAACAAAAATCAAGGAAAGACTTCGCAAACTTGTACATATATTTTACTGATATATAAATTTGCTTGATTCACATACCACAAAAACGATAGCTAGTACAATACCAGCCTAAATAATTATTTCTGTATATAATCATATTTTGAATAATATACTTTTGTGGGTGTCATAGTTTTCCTGACAACTCATATCTTTTTTATTATAAAATATTCAGATATCAAACATAAATTAATAACAAATTAGTTTACTATATGACCAATTCCAAATCTGCTGGTAAAAGTAATACAACATTCTCATTATAATCTATTAGTATGGAGTTTAAAAATACTTCATTTGTTAGTATTGTCTCTTATTAACACACAACAAGCCTGGTTAAATTTAACACTAAAAAAAATCTAACAAGCTTCATAATTTTATATACAACGAAGCTTTAATATTGTTCAATGAAATATCTTTCTTTCATAAATTTCAGTGAACAATCAAACTGTTATATGCTATTGATTACCATATCAATAATAATATGTCACTTAATTTGCGATTGACAATTATGCCATGATTGACGTCTTAAAAATCCTGATTATATGATTACCAGTAATAATTACAGGAATCTAAGGTACAACAAAACTATGTGAGACAACAAACACAGTGTAAGATATCAGTTCTATTTCTACTCCAATCATTGTATTAACAATAATTTTTATTTAAAAAAAATCACATATATTATTCTTGCTAATAATTTTCAAAAATATAATACTTTGGACTGATTATACGCTCGGCTAACGACTTGATGATTTGGTAGATGTTGTCAAGCCATAATGTCTAAGCGTTTACCTTTTCTTTTGCATTGTGGGGCTGGGTTAATTTCGTGAATGTTTTTGGTGCAGATTGTTGCTTGAATGCTGCTACCATTGAAATCAAGACTGAACCTTTGAATGGAAAGCGAAAACAAAATTGAAGTTAGAAACCACGAGGAAAATATGGTCAACAGGCAAAATAAATGTTAAAATGGTATAATCAGGTCAACTGGTCACCAGTCTTGGCAGATTGACTTGCAACAGGCCAGTAAGAGGTTAACAGTCCTAATAGGTCAAAAGTTCAATCTGCCCAACAGTTCAAGGGCCAACAAGTCAACAGTCAATATGAACAAGCCAATTCATATGAAGTTTATAAAATTTGTTCACTGCAAACATTAACCACTCTAAGTGATTTTCTCTGTCAATATTTTAATCAGTCTGTCAATCTGCATAGATTAGATATTTGACATTTTACATTTAAAATATCAACTGACAAGTAATCATGTACAGTAGTCAAAATCCTACCTGTCAGCTATCTTAATGACATTCTCTTTGTTGGTTTCCATTTGCACAGCGCGACTAAACCGAGTCAGAATTTCTATAACATTCAGCGAAATGAAAACAAAGTCACCTTTCTTGGTAAACTCTCCACCCTGAAAAAAAACAAGGGATCACGATAATCAAGAGTGGCGGTATATATCTTTAGTGCTAGACTGGTAGTCCTGATTCAATCCTTGCTCTTATTTCACTATTGCAATTTCTACATGTCAGATCAGACAATGTTTGATGAAACATTTCTGATTGACTTCCAATAAGACAGATAGTATGACATTTGAAGATTCTAAAACAAAATTAAATAATAGTACTTGCCTTGGTTACATGGACAACGAAAACACCATCGCTGTAGGGACTACACGTAATGCTTGTGATCTCAGTGAGGGGAATACGATATTTGGTAAGGAGCGACTTTTGGTCCATCACAAGGAATGACTTGGAACTAAGAACCAGAAGCGTGTGCGTGATCTACAAAATAGACAAATGTTCCAAACAAAAAGAAACAAATTATTAATGATCAGTGAATTTTTAATTACAGGGCTGATTAATTGAAAAATAAATTTCTGTTACATTAAAAGACAATTCCATAATTGTTTAGGAGTGATCTATTTAAAAGAAAAAAATTGGATAATTTGGTCGGCAGGTAGGTTTTCATGTATTGTGACTATTCATTTATAGAAAAAGAGCAAGCTATGCATATTATGAGCTTATCCTTCTACCTTTCCATTGTTTCTGTTAACTTTATCAACAACATCGGCGAAAATTATCTTCTGGTCATTAGTTTGCACAGCCAGCTTGCTATATTTGGTGTTGATTCGTAACCGCACGTAGTCACCACGGAATTGCACGGGTACTCTATAAAATAGGAAAGTTTAGGAATCAATCAATCAATCTATTGACAATAATGTTCAACTATACCAGGGGTTCTCAACTATATCGCAAAAGGCCCAAAATTGTTCATTAAATAAATTTTAAGGGCCACTGGAAGAGGTGTACTTTGAAGCATAGAGCCACCTGAGAGCCACAGGTGCGAGCTAGGGGAGGGTTAGTGAGGGGGATGTCCCCCACCCTAACTAGACATTTTTTAAATAAGCCGCTAGACGCTCATACAGGCCATCTTGACTGAAAGTGTGAGCAAAAACCTTTCAACAATAATGTTCTATATACTGAATAAAGAACTGCACAGAGCCGTATGGAACGTTACATTCCACAGCAGGCCTGCACTACTGTGTGAGAGAACAAAAGTTTGCGTGTTAATTCTTTTCTTTGCTGTTTGCTGTGATAGTTCTTTCGATTTAATTGATTAGATCGCTACAATTTGTGGCCTAGTTGGCAAAACAGAATGCAAAATTATTAAGGTTAGAAATCTAGGCCCAATCCTAACTCGCGGGCTGCACAACACACACTCACAGGCCTGAGATGGCCCGCAGGCCGCCAGTTCAGAACCCCTGAACTATACTGTATTTTGGGAAAAGACAGAAAAATTGAGAATGGAAAAATGTTGTCGGATTCAGTGCACATATCCAGAAAACTTCTCAAGGCTCTATTTTCCCTGGTCATTGGATAAAGCATCAATCAACACAACGTGCAACCTCCTCCGATCCCTGGGGAGTATACTAATGTATGAATTATTATATTTCTTTAAATTGAAATGTGACTTACGAGGCTGGATAACTTGATTTCTTCTCTTTGAATAGGTCACTGGCTGTGACCTTTGTCCCGAGAACTTCTCGTCTTGGTTCGTCAATTTGAATACGGTACATCGTTGCCTATGTTAAAAAGCAAGATATGACAACAATGTAATATTGTTTGATGTTTCTTTATTTTTTCACATTTAATTATGTTTCACTTACTGAAAATATTAATATTTTCTGTTAACATTTTAAAAATGTACAAGACAATATGATGTAATAAAAAACACATTTAATTATATAAATAGCACAAACATAAAATATTATAATACTATAATAATATTATCTTACCCTCCATCGTCGGAAAATATCTTTGAGTTTGGAATGTGTGGACTTATGCATGGGTGAACATGGTGGCCAGTTCCTGTCAAGGGGAGACATGGTAGGCAGCTGTGTTTTCAGTTTAAGCAAGTACTTGGAAATCTGGGGAAAAAAAACATGATAAAGGGACATTTTGTAAAATTACATATACCGTATTTATTTGAATAAGCATCCTGTTATGTATAAGCGTCCCCATCGAATAGGCACTCCCTCCTTATCTGCAATAAATGCCTCCCTCGAATAAATGCCATGAAGAGTTAAATAAATGCCTCCCTTGAATAAATACGGTAGTTGATCATCAAAGGTTACAAATTTCAGTAATTATAGTATGCAATTAATTATTTCTTTCATTTACTTTAAAAAAAATATTACTGAAAATATAATATAAAAAAATCCATCATTACATACCACATATCGTCTCATGAAAGCAATGATCTTTGGTGCTGCGTTGGAACGGAATAATTTCCTGTATTCCTTTCGTACCTATATTGGCCAAAACCATATCAAATATTAGCAACAAAATTATCTCCTGTCCATAAACAAAAAAATATGTGAAACAATGATTTTTGATGTTTTTAATTATAAATAGCTAAAATCATTAAATTCTATTCATCTTTAAAAATGACCTGATATAAAAAATTTAACTATATTCAATTAACACCAATATATGTAGTAATATATTGTTTATAAAATAAACATATAGAGTTACCCGCCAGCCAATGAAAAACTTCTTGATGATTCCTACAGCCCACATACACTTGGCTTCATACCGCAAACGTTTGTATTCCTTCCGCGCAAGGTATCCACGCCACAAGGAAGTGATCAAGATGCATGATAGTCGCATCTTCTGGTACTTTGACTTGGCTTTGTAGCCCTTGTATTGTGCAGCTATCAGGGTCACGCTCTGTCGCATCTTCTGGTACTTTGTGCGATCCCTCCAGCCTTTGTAAATCTTTTGTATTAACGTGGCAAGGTAGTGCATGCGTAAGTGACGACGTTGCTCCAAGTCAAAAAGCTTAAATAAAAACAGATATATATATATATATGTATATATATATATTCTTAACCAATATTTTGGAATTCAAGGAGTAGATATTTTAACATTAACTGTCATTGATGGTGAAAAAGAAAATGAGGAAGACAGCATGGTGTAAAGTATTTTTATATGGTACACTGGGGTGGATGCTTCAATTATTTTATAATTATAGATGATTATGATAATAAAACACAACCTATACACTAAGTTAGACACAGATTGGTAGCTGTATATTCCTCAGTCAAGGATTCAATTCACACTCAAGGTAGATCTATAAAATTTGAATAATGAAAATGTGTTCATAACAGAGCTGTGGAATTTAAGGCCAATGGTTCAAAAAATAATTTCTAGCCAATTAATATAATAGTTAAACGGCGGGTGAGAGGGTGTAATCAATGTATGGACTGGAATCACCAAAAAAATTTGCAAAACAATTAACTTACTGTCCTTGGATTTCTGATGAAGATTTTAGTGCGTCCATATGCATACTCCTCCTTCTTGTATCCGAGGTGCGTTAAGAGTTGGACCATTCCGTCCTTGGCAGCACCTTTCCAATTCGGCCACGTCTTTGGACAAAGCATCTTGTATCGTGTCAGGCACAGTTCATACAACTGCCTAAAAGCATAGCCTGCCCTCCTTACTCGTACATTCTCCATTAAACTATTAGTAGAAAAAACCACAGAAAATCAGGAAAAGAATGAACTAGAAGATATTTTACATAGAAAATTCTTTTATTAAACAAGATCATGTGACCTGAAATATAAAAACAAACTTACCCTAGATATCGGACTTGATGCCTTACAAGAGCCTCATTGAAATCATTCGGAGCTTTATCGTCATTAGGCTGAAAAATAACAAGAATGATAATTTGGATTGTTTTATATTTTTTAATGTTTATCAGCAGTTTAATCAAAAGTCCAAAAGACAAACACACTTGTACTCAACACAAATATGTTGACTGTACCCTTTATAATGCATTTTAGTTAACTGTTTTGTAATTTAATGTACGAATTTATCAATTGTTTTGTTTACTGACTACTGTATATGTACTAATATAAAAAAAATAATTTCTTCACCTTGATACATCTGATGTAGTTGGGGTCTTTGGTTAGTAAATTTTTCATTAACTCTGCTATAGACGACTGAAAAGAGGAGCAATATAATAATAAATACTGTAATGTTTGAATTAACATGAAAGTTAGAAATGTATATTCATCTCACTTTCTCCTTACACTGCCAAGCCTTTTTACCTTGCTCAAACACCCCATACACCAAGGCATAAAGGGCGCCACCATAATGAAAATCATTTCTATCAACTGCAGTAGTGTAGTGTATTTTTAGATCATTACTTTCAGGTCCTTTCCTGAAACTCCAGGGTGGGAGTTCATGTTCTGGCGATCACTGCCAACAAGTTTATGTGCAACACAACAGTGGCATGTTGGACAGGTGTGAACATGAACTTATGTTCTTGGCGCCCCGAGTGAACCCAGTCAGACGTAAATTTGCGTCCCTGACAGTTAACATGTTAACCCATTTCACAGTGCTTTTCTACTACCACAAATACAAGCAAAATTTCTAGCTGAAGAAATAGACTAAAATTACACTATCAAATTACAAATAAAAATCTTGATTAAAATCAAAAGGTCGATCGAATAAAGATAGAATTCATAACAAGAAATTACCTTAAATTGGAATGCTGTTGTTGGCGGTCGTTTTTGTGAATTATGCTTAGGGTTGCCTTCTGGGAAGAGTGTCTTGAGTAGAAGATGGTCACACTTGTACATCAATTGCGACAGGTCACGAAATAACAGGTCGTTATTCTTATCAATGAATCCAGTGACACAGTAATTTACCTATCAGAAGATACATAACATTTTCAGGGAGTTAAATTTTGGTGATAAGTGTTCACAAAAAATAGACACAATTACTATATGAGACATCATCTCAGGGTGATTATTAAGTTCATAAATCAAATGTGAGAAAAAAAATTGTACTTGAACTTACATTGCCTGCATAATGCTTTAGTCTGAAAGATTCATGGTCAATTGATTTGTCCGATTTGCACTTTGACCTACTCTCGTAATGAGGATGCCCTAAGATACTTTTGGTTGTGTTCATCTTGTTTAAAAATGTTTGGTCTGAGACATCACCAGGTCGCAAGCACTCTTCATCCAACATGGACAGGATTCCCAAGTTACTCTGCAAAGGACCATTTTTTGAATTTCTGTTAGAAGTGTTAATGACAATATTTACCAAAAATTTTCGAAACATTCAGCAAGCTTTATAAGCATGTTAAATTTATACAAAAATAAAAAACAAACAAGAAAATTTATTTGACAAACTAAATGTTGTAACTCAAGCAGGAACTTAAATTACAATCCTTTACTAAGCACTTTTCATATTACCAAGTTTCTGTGGATGTATACTGTGATCTGTAAATGTATAATTTGAAGGTTAAGATGATACACTTCCAATGTTGTAAGTACTAGGTTCGAATTGTTCAAACAACATATTCTTTCTCATCACCAACACAATTCCAAACGGCAAGCCTTCAGAGGCATATACAAGAGACCTGAAATGGGAGGGGGGTGGCGGGCTAACACTGTTACATTGTGTGGGACCTTATGATATTAAGGGGCAAGGCTTAGTCACCTAAGCCTCACTGCTTGGATATTATTGCTAAGATTCTAATATGGAATGGTGCATTGAGACTATTAGCACAGCATCACTTATAAGTTACAAGTTGCTGATAGCTGAATGTGAATAAAATTATTCAAAATAATTTTGAAATGGGGCAGATAACAATAGAAAAGGAAGAAGAATGTAAACTTTAAAGTTTCCATCCAGCTAAATAAATATAAAGGTAAAGTTACATGAATTAGGGGCACAACAATCCCAAGCTTGGTTACCTTTTCTATTAGATCACATATTGCAATATTGTTGAAGAAGTCAATATTGGTCCATTCAATTCCCTCCACCACATACTCCTCTTGTTCCTCCTTTAATGTTAACTCTATGAAGATTTGTTGAAGTTTTTCATTGCAATAATTGATAATGAATTGTTCAAAACCATTTCCCTGAAAGTTAAACAATGAAAATGTTAAAAGTTTTTTTAATAGCACAGAAATAAACATATGGGTTAGTTGCTGGGTAGGAATTTTTATTTTTATTACTAAGAAACATCTTTCAATATCACAAACAAAGCTAGATGCACAAACCTCAAATATTTCAAAGCCATAGATGTCCAGAACACCCATCACTTTCCTACCAGTACCGTCTCGAACCTAAGAAAACAACAAAATATTCTAGTATTTACATAAAAACTGCTTAATATGTAAAAAAAAAATATTTTAATAGATAGTAACAATAATCCTTATTTATCATACCATCTATAATACCACCATTGTTACCATCACCTTCATCACATTTTTGTCAAACTCAACTTCGAGTACATAACCTCAATTCCATTACCAAAGTAAATATTGCTCAAATAACAAATTATTTAAAGAATCAGATCCAAAGACAATGGTATACTGCTTGTCAACGTTAATAATTGAAATGAGAAATTTTAATTCTACTTAAATCACTGCTCCACTTTACACCTTACATTCCAAATTTCCTTTGATATCTTCTCAATCCAACAAGCAGTTTGACAACTACAAGATCAAACTATGTGAAGCTATAAACTGCCACACCTCATTATGCAGTTTATGAAGTGATGAAACTTGATTAAAAATCCTGCCATTTGTATGTACCTCCCAGATCCATTCTCAACCACACCCCACTTCTATACACATCCCTAGAATATAACATCTAAACCACTGCTCTACTCCTATCCCTCCATGCTGTGTGTATAATCACAGGTCTTACATAGTATAATAGTAATACAATCATTATTTTTACATGTAGGCCTACAGTGTCAGTCTACAGCATGCAAATAGTACAGAAAGACAGGTTGATTATTATATAGTCACAGAAACCACCTCAGAATGCTATAGGCAAATCATTCGTCTAAGTTAACAGGCTACTGTGAGTACTGTACTAGTTACTGGTCCTCTTATCACACACAGCCTCTATTTCACTTTGGGTTGATCACAAATTATGTGCCAATTTAGTAAAGCATGCTGGGAGGATCATGCACACATTCACATGCCTTATGTATTCACAATGAGAACAAGTGTTTTATCACACAAGGACATGTGATACGTTCTCACACAGCAAGAACGGGAGGAAGCTAGGCCTACTCCAATAATAGCGAGATCAAGTGATCTATCACACGATGCAAACAAATGCTTTCCTACATGATCCGAACAATGTCAAGAACAAGCACAGATTCAATGGCCATGTTCTTTAAAATATTCCTCTATGTCCAAGTCTGTACACTCCACATTTCAACAAAGTTTCATTATGTTTACTTTTTACTTTATCTAACCCAGTAACAATAAAAGGATGAATAAGAACCCCATAAACAAGGCAGGAAGGGGGGTATGTATATACCTTAGTAAGCTCTCCATATTTCATCCCCAATGCACACAAACTGTGCTTAACAATAAAAATGCAAGGACAGTAGGTAGTGCTGAAATTGCAGAGGTCAATGCAGTTGAATTCCATGGGTAAAAGAACAATGGTATATTAGAAAAAGGGTACGATAATAGGAGATGGATGGGTAAGGAGATTAATGAGAGTAAGGAAGAGATCAGAAGACGGCAACAAGGTAATGGAGTAAGGAAGATATGAAGAAAGGCAAGGATAGGGGTACCTTGGATACTGAAAGGCCAACATGTACAACCAATAACCCAGTACAAAACTCAAAGGGGTAACTAATGCTCATGAACAATTCCCAGAGCTTATACCTTTTTCTTCCTGTAAGTCTTGGGAATAAATTTGCAAAAAAATATTATTAAATATATATCAATGTTAAATATATCCTTATTATTCCATACCAGGCACTTTATAACCTAATAAACCAAAAGGCTACCAAAGATTATGCATATAATATTATATTAATTCTACAATAACTGTATAATTCAAATGTAAATTATAGCAATGTTACATGAAAATTTAATACATATAATACAGGTATTTATTATTATAGTACTAATACTAAACACCATATAAATTCTTCGAAAATAATTAATTTTCCTTTGTATACTCTATGCCATTTTACCAATACACATGCATATCAAAATATGTAAATCAGAGACTACTGAGTAATTCCCATTATCAGCAAATGTACAAATATCTATATAAACTTAGTCACAAGAAGAATTAATTAAAGATAGTGTTGGGCTAATAAAACTTACATTTTTGACTTCAATATTTTAATTGCTTGCATTGTATAATTTAATTTCAACTTTATTCTATTCTATTGAAAATTAGAATAAAAAAGTATTTTCTTGCAAACCAAACATATGGTAACAACTTAAATCAATAGGATATACACACATTATTGTGCAATAACAATTAGGTTTGATCAATAATATTGTTACAATTAACTGCAATCTATTAATTATTTTGAAATAGTAAACATATTTGTTAATTCTTATATGCATTATTAGGTGTCCTAAAATTTACTGTTGTTAATTTTATTTTACTAATTATTATTTAAGAAACTGGTTATACATTGATTAGATACCATTCCTTGATATTACAGTAAAGTTACATAAAATTATAGGCTTCATATTAGCAGTTAATATCTATATATACATATATAAATTATAGAATATTATGTTAATATTACATTTTAATTGAGATAATAATAAAGACTTCTATGTATTTTATATGTAATATACCTTTCTCCTTTTTGGGTTGTCTTTAGATTCCTGTTTTTGAATAAATAAATAAATAAATAATACAATGGATAGTTTATGTTATATAATGCTGAGAGTTAACATCTATTTTTAAAATTTAGACCAACTTATATGCAAATCAGTCTACTTAATATTCATGAGATGTCAAAATATTGTTTGTCATATTCTTAACGTTGAGTAACATAATCAAACACAGACACTATGTTGAGCAACACACATAACACAAGTATTATTTTAAGCTTTGTAAACAAAAAGCGAAATACAGGATTCAAAAGCACCATTACAACATGACACATACAGCATCTTGTACTACAGTATGCGTGGAAACACGGAGAGCACCAAGTTCTTGTGTAACATTCAGAAACACAAAAGCACCATGTTGTTTTACAACAGAACAACACACCATGTTGCTGTATAATATTAAAAAACACTGGGCACAAATGTTATTATACAATATTCAGAAACACAAGAGCATCATACTGTTGTACAACACACCATGTTGTTGTACAATATGCTGAAACATATGAGAACCAACACATAGCAACACTAGATCATGCATCATATTGTACAGCATTCAGAAACACAAAATCACCATGATGTACAACACAAGCAACCACAAAAGCACAAACTTTTATAAAATATAATCACCAAGTGCATGATGTTGCACATACGGTAGAAGCAAACATACCAAATAACAAAGCGCTAACACATACATATGTCATGTTGTGCTATATACCTTAAACACAGGAACACTATCAGCAAAGTGATGATTTGCACAACATAAAAAAAACACAAAAGCACTGTAACACAACACCATGTTTTGCAATGTGCAAACACAGAAACATCATTCGCCAAGTGAACACAATGTTGATATATATATACATATATATATATACAAATTTTAACAAACACAAACACACCACATAATATATTATACAGCAATTTTACTAAAGTGCCTAGCATACAAACATTGACCCACATGACCATAATTTAAAACTAGAAAAAAATAATTGTTTGCACTAATACAACATAAAAAAACACATAAGCATTTCTGATTATAATAAATAATGACTATGGCACTAATATATTATAATATATGAGATTTAAGAAAAAGATGATTAGAACATTACTATATTATACAATAACCAACAATACACATGAAAAGGGAATTGAGAATGAACATTTAAGAAGGAAATCTACATTTCTATCACTGTCTAATATAAATAAAATGTTTAGAATATGTTAATATAAGTTGTTTGCTTTTGAAATATATCTGATGTTATTATGCTGTATTCCAGCGCACCGTGACAACTACTCGTGAAAAATGATAATCAGCACATCAAATATGTTTTCAATGTAGTTGAAATTACATGCCCACTAATAATGTGCACCTCACAAGTCTTTACAGGGTATATCAGTTTCAAATAACATTGGACCGCCTTTCAAGTTACAAGAAATTGTGATCATTGGTACGGTGGAATGCTTATCAACATTCATACTATTAATACATTTTTTTATATTTTTATCATTAGCAAATGACTGGCACTTACATTTCTATATTGGTGCATTATTATAATTAATAATTAACTAATTAAGCTTCTCGTTAATAAGTCAAGATTTTTTTGTCTACTCATGAGCCAAGAAAACATCTGAAAGTTCACTAATTCAGAGGAGTATAAGTTGAGGAAAAAATGATGGTGATGAAGAATGCAGAGTAGGACTAAAGTTCTTGTAAAATATGGAAAAGTTAAGCACACTTAAAAGTAAATGTGCTTGGAAACTGAGCCCGCAACAAATAAGTATTTAGAACAAAAGGTTAAAGATATGATGTTCACTATGAAGATGTATAATGAACGATATCTTTGTGTTAATACTAAAGGTTACTGAACCATAAACATATATAATTTTTCTATATAAAATCTTTATCAAGGCTATATATGTTAGTTTCAACCCACTGCACGAAAAGCAAATTAAATTCTGCTACATATTGAAAACAAGAATTAATATTAAAATATATTTTATATAGTATAAATTTAGCAAAACTATGATATATTTAAGGCAATATTTGTAAATGATAATTATTTTCAATATGAAAAACATGGCTTTATCTTGTCTACATAATTAAATTTAGTTTCAACCCACTGCAAAAAAGCAAATTACATTGATCTACAGTATATTAAAAATAAGAATCAATAGTTTATCTGATAAAATTGAACAATTTTTGATATACACATAAAGAAATGAAACAGCACATAATATGGAAACACAATGATATTACAAAATATATAACAGATGCAACAAAACATGAAGCTATGATATATATGGTATAGGTAGTATATAAAGTATGACAAAACACAAGATACTGTATTAACTCTCACCTCCTATTTTTGTAGTGAAGAAAAATCCAGACATGAAAAAAGGAAAATTTTTAACCATGAAATAAAAAATATGCATAAAAAAAATATTCAAAAGCACTGCAAAAAAAAAAATAGCATATGAGCTTAGGCAAAACAATTTGTAATATTATTTAACAGTTGGTGGAACTGGTTTTGAAACTTTAATGGAGATTATTATGTTGGTTTTTCTGTGATAAAATATAGAAATGTATGCTGTCTGATTAAAAAATAAGTTAAATACCAATAATTTTCACTGCAGCAAAAAGCTAATGGGTATGAATACTGTCATTAAATAGTTGTAATTAAAGCTTTGGAAAGTGGAAAAATGATAAATTTATATAAAATTAATATTTTATAAAAAAAAAAATGATAAACTACTGAATTGTTCAATTTATTATTCTACAATAATAATAGTTATCCTATCTACAGAAGCATCAATCTATTATTTCCCAGTAGCATGGAATCAAATAAAGCATTGTATCATAATTTTGATCAATATTACATTCTTGCAAAAATTTTTAAGCAAAATATAAAAGGCAGCAAATAATATATGACTTTAGAACTAGGCCTACAATATTTATTCGAAAAAACGTGTTCGGGCATTTATTGTTGAGAAGGGTTTTTGAGGAGTTTATTCAAGGGAGGTGTTTATTCGAGGGAGGCGTGTTTTTAAATGTAAAATGGATACATATATACTCAAACACCTGCGGCATTTATTCAAGGAAGGTGTTTATTCCAAATGACACCTCAATGGTTTATTCAAAGCGGGGAGTTTATTTGAATAAATATGGTATATGTGAAACCAAGCTACTGGGTAACTGCACCGCCCTCTACTGTCCAAAAAAGCTACTGGGTAACTGCACCGCCCTCTACTGTCCAAAAAAGCATTCTGCATCTAAGAGAATGACCAATAAGACACAATGCGATATTAAGACACCAATACATACCCGTATGCTGTTGTTGATGGTCTTGATGGCCCATGTGAACATACGGTCGTAGATGGCCTTACAGAGGGCGTCTCTTGCATAGGCCGCTTGCGCTGGAGTTAGGGATGTTGTCACTTTCTCACCCTTCTGCCCAATTGTACGTTTGGTCAATGCATGGATCATATCTTCTTTCAAACATTCCAGTTGTTCACAAACGTCTAAGATTTCTAAAAAAGGTACAGATACATAAATTTGACAATATAATGTAGATTTTACTTCAAGTTTTCTAATAATTAAGATTCACTTTTTGTGGTAACGAATGAACAATTTTTTTAAACCAAATTCGACATACTTCTATCCTTATTCGCACGGATGTCAGTATTTTCAAATACTAAATTATATTGTTCTTTGGCTCACAACAGACAGTATTATCGTCATAAAATACTAGTATATACCTGTGCTGCCCACAGTGTTAAGCGAATGGGCAAAGGTAGAAAGGTATGTATGTTATTGGGGGTTGAGGAGGCAATCATTGAGGATGTTATGGTTACCTTGTCACTATTTTTCTAAAAAGGACCTCTTTGCAGATAACGTTTGGGTATGTGTCTCTGCTGTATAGCCCTTGTGAGGAATTATTGTCCACTTTTATAGATATGGGCCTACATTGGATTACCCTCTTGCACATGAAAATGCAACATATATAGTTAAGCATTAGGTGAATGTCCTAGGCCTATAGCAAAACAAAAAATAGGCTGTGGAAATTTGTTCCGATGGGTTTACATAAGTTTCAGGTGTTGATTGGTAGAGCTGGCTTGACCCTAAACTTAAACATGAGTATCTTAATGCACTATGGCATGGCGGAAGAATAGCCATATTGCCCTGGGCCAAATTGACTCAAAGGGCCGAAGTGACCCGGATTTGAGAGTGTGTGTGGGGGGGGGGGAGAACCTAGGCCTAACCCTCTGGGAAATTATTAGGCCTAGTCTATATTATGCCTTGTCCCTGGGCATATATGCCTTTTATTTTTACCTGATAGGTTTCTAAAACATCCCATTCATTGCTGATGTTAAAAGCCATATAAAACGTACTGTTTATGTTTATATTCAGTTGTTAATGCAATTGGTGCTCCGTTACTTAGGACAGCAGGCAGCTTTTACCAGACAGCATGCAATACAGGAACATGCAGTTCCGATCAGTGCCGAGGTGATCAGACTTTTTATTTTGCGGTCTTGCACAATATTTTGTAGACTCGAGCACTGGGGTACAAAACTGATGGGATGCTTTACTCGTGAAACATGACTGTCAAGGCACTAATTTTCGGTGATTTTGAGGTATTTTTTGTTGTCATCTAATATCCAGCCTAGAATCATAGCTTATCATCTTCGCCACATTAGAAACCCCAGTGTTTAAAGAATGAGCACATTCCTGCCAGTGGTTTCAGAGGACATACGTGAAGTTATGCCGAAGCGTTAACAGAATTAATATATAGATGATTTATTTGAAGATTTATCAGTATGTTTTTAATGATGTACCACAATAATAACTCAATGAAAAAAATTTAGATATGGCATGCTCATATCTATTGGAAAACATTCACATTAAGACAGTTGAGAATGTATACTGAATACTAAATTTGTTAGTTTCAGTAAACAAAGGGAAGCTTAAATGTTTACTAATCAATAATCTAATGTTAGGCCAGTACTGTATCTGAAGATTAAGTTGTAGGTGACCCCATAATCCAGTTGGTCCATTTGTGCATATCCCACAACAATCAATGACAATTCTGAATATAGGCCTGAAATGGTTCACTTACCATTTTCCTTTTGAAATCCCACCCCTTCCATTCCATTCATGGTGTTAACTGATGTGAATTTGACATTCCCAAGCTTCAAAATGCTGCCTAGAAGTTTGTAGATTGAAAGAATCTCCTCATCGGTAAAACCAAGAACTTGCATTGCTTTCTGTAAATAAAATTCACAAAGAGATAAATATAAATTGGTAATCATACAGCGCCCTCTATGAAAACATGCAATACTAATAATATACATCAGAACATGGAGAAAATAAATATTCTATTTACACTATTAATATTTTAGATTTAATATTTTAAATAACAAAAATATTACCAAGGAAAGAGTGGTATTTCTTACCTGCGTTATTGCAAATTGTTCCTTATCGTTGATTTTGTCAATCTTTTGAGTACCACTCTGACTTAAGTAATAGTAGTCGGCCGGGTTTCTTGTCAAATCTAACTCATCTGAAGACAAATTCAAAGAAAATATAATACATAATAGAAAGCAAATTTTCTTTAACTAATAAAAATCATATATTTTTAATGTCATCTCAGGACTATAAATTAAAAAGCTTATTCTTTTTAAAAATAACTTATGGTTCTCGTCAGGATTTGAACCCATAGAAGTTTGCAACAGAACTGTAATAGGAAGTGCTTAAAACTGAATGCAGAAAAAGTATTTTTGTCAAAAAACTATTAATTATCTTCTTCATAATAGTCTGTATTACATGTCTTATCAGAGGCTTAGTTGATGGACAGAAGTAGGACTAATCTTTCATAGGCATAAGAACAGTATCTGTAAGTCTAAAATTGGTAGAAGCACATCAACAACTAAGCTCTTTATTTCCTAATATATAAAGTTTAGAGGTGGTTCCATATAAATATTATTTCCTTAAAAATGTATTGTCCCCTGCTAATGTCAAAAAATCATTTAAAAAAATCAGTTTGAAATAAACTTGCTCATATTGCAATAGCATAAAAATTATTAAATTGTGCATAAAAATTACTGAATTTAAAAAATGTGTACACTGTACCCTGATTTTTAAACCAAAAAATTATAATAAAAATAATAATAATAAAACACTTCCAGTGACATTTTTTAAATACACAAATTTCTGTGTTAAGTAGACATTTTTTAAATACACAAATTTCTGTGTTAAATTTAATAACTTTTATATTACTTCAAAATGGGCAAGTAAATTTCAAAAAATGTTTTAATGATTTTTTTTGTTATTTAGCATGGGACAATACATCTTTAAACATATATTGCCTTCTCATCTAACAGTGACAACTTGCCAAAAATTGAATCAACTAGGCAATGCTTTATTAAATATCATCATTAGGGATAGGGGGGTTATTTTTAATATTGTGATAGATACAATTTAAATGCAAGACCCTAGAATTCTGGAAGATAAAAATCTTATCTCCCATTTATATTTTTTATCAGTCAAGAATTGAGTTGGAAAATGATTGCTTTGAAATATAAGAATTGATTAATAATAATAATAATTTAGATATACCACAAAAAAATATGAAAAAAAAAAACTAACCATCACGTCAAAAAAAGGGAAGGCAGCAAAGGGAGGCAGAAAGAAATGAATGCAAAAAAACAATTTAAAAAAAATTAATTAACTATGAATATTAATAATTACCACAGAAATAACAGACACTAGACGTAATAAATAAAAATTATAAGAAAACCTAATGTTATACTTTTTTATCATTAATATAACAATTTTGAAAATTTGTTACCTTCTATTTTCAAATCTAAGCAAATTTAACAAAAGGAAAAATTTCCTGGAAACTAACAAATATTCAATCATTAAAACAAAAAACTAAAAATCTCTAATCTAATATTCACTAGCAATGCTGACTACAGAAAATAACAGCACACCACATTTTAAGAAATGTACGGTACTAATACAGTTATTAATCAAAATGATCTGGATTTTATTTCATGTTGGTAAATGTCAATGTGAAAATTAAACTAAAAGCACACAGCAAATGTTTGGACAAAGTGAGCAGATGACAGAGGTGCTCGATAAAGAAAAGCAGATGACAGATGACTGGACACTGACTGTAGAGTAATATATTCATTTTTTTTTAATTCAGTAAACTACCAACAGTGAATAAAAGGCTAACTCTAAAATTAATAAATATAATAAATTATTTATATCTTTATTATAGATGCTTTAATGTATATATATCCTAACATTAATGCGCAATGGTAATTTCCTACATTGATCTTTGCCTGTTGCCTTCTTTGCCAATCTCAAATCCCCAAAATCGGGGACCATAAACTACCATATGCTAAACTATCAGTTAATCAGTGTATAGTATGACTGAATTTTTGCAGCATAAATAGCTAGCATAGCAATACCTTTTATTAACTATTCATGCCAAGCACCACAAATGATTCTGAGCCACAACCTATTGTTGTAGCGCATTACAAACTAGTACCAGTTTTACTATTTTCTATATTGAAGTCGTCAGTAGACCATTTGATCAAAGGAAGATAGCCTTCTGCCCTCAAATGACTCCTATAATTAGGGGAAATCCAAAACAATTTCTTATGTTATGCATGATAAAAGTCATCCTTTTACGGTAATATTATTTTATTAGAATTTATTTTATAGTAAATTTAATAGTATATTAGATGACAAAAGTGATCTTATTAGTAGTCAATTAGTTATGCTTTTGTTGCAAACACTATTTAATCAATTCACAATTTTAATGATAAACATTCCTCAGTCCAGTTGCCATTTTCTGAATTAAATTGTAATAATGTATTGTTATTATAAATATAGATTTATATATTTTTTATATTCCATATGTAATTGGTATTAATTATACTATTATTACATTTTCCTATTTATTAAAGTATAAGATATTCAGTTTATTTCCTGGACAGTATACAATAATATAATTATTTTATATATATGCTATTAAATCAGATCCCTATGATTCCAAGATGACATGAAAAAAATATGCTGGTTGTTAAATAAAAGGAAGTAATATAGAAGAAATAAAAAGAAATATCTTCTTATGATGTCCTTGTTTTGTTTGTTAAATAATTTGCATAAGCAGACAGAATAGCTTAGCAACAAAGACCTATATATCCAGTACAGTAAACAAAGGCACCATTGCTATCCTACTAATCTACCCAGAGACCATGAAAACAAAGGCTGGCATAGCAACACTCCAATGGCAAATGCAAATCAAGATGTTTTTAAATATACTATGCTAATATATGTGGCCTGTGCAATATATACTGTTGTTATGCATGTGTGTATCTAACACCACAGCCTACATACTATAAGCAAATTTAGATATCAGCATATTATCTTAAACACGTGAAAAGTTGACATACAATGTCTGAAAATGGTCATAAAAACCTGTTATTTTTAGTATGACAATAATAATTATGAAAAAAAATTAAAAAGGTAGCTAGGTAAAAAGTAATCATATATAAGCACAGAAGTGTTAAAATATAACTCCATAATATCTAGTGAATATATAAACAGTTGATGATTATGTAACAAAACATGTCATGTAATGATTACCCTTAGCAATCAACAAAAGGGTAGATTGCAAAGTGCTACACGTCATTCGGAACAGCTTAAGATAAAAAAAAAAAAGTTATGGTGGCCAATTTGGAAAAAGGTTATAGTACGAGATGTAAACAATAAAAACCCAATGACAGCATATGTAAGATTGATAACCAAATATGGAAGGCAGCTTGAGTCAAAGAACAAAACGCAATGAAAAATAATAGACATTAATATGGAGGGCAAATCAAACCTATGTTATAAGCAATGAGTAAAAACAAGAAAGATTTGTGGTTTTTAGTCTTCCAAATTTTGAAAATTTAGCACCAACAAAATTCCAATATCTAGTAACACACACACTGCAGACAATAAAGCGATCCATGTAGCTCATAGAAGCACAGACTTTGTAGTGTGCTTAAAAAAAATCCATCACATTGAGGGTGTGGGAGCATATAGTGGTTTTGAGAAAATTGGTAAAAAAATGTTGGAAAATGGATTTGAAGATGAATACAGTGTGTCAACTGGTACCTAGGATTGTACTTACCCTCTGGTGAAGGACAAAGTGCAAAATGAAAGACAAAACAGACAGAAGGATTTGTTAGGGGGGGAAAGAAATTCTACTCTGCATTCGTTCGATTGAAGTAGATTAGTGTGTACAGTTAATACGGAAAATGACAACTGCAAGGCAATGTCTTGTGCGTACTGGGTCCTCTGAGATAACAGTAACATTTTACTGAAGAGGTAACCCAGTATAAAGAATAAAAAAATAAATAAAAATGATTATATGTTTCATTCATTATAAGAACATTTTAATATTTTTTGACCTAATAAAAAACCAAATTATAGAATTGATTATGGCCTCATAATGGTTGTCATTTTTTAAGTACATGTACAATCATTTTCTATATAAGACTATTCAGTGGATCTTTTGGTATGATGGGAATGCACGCACATCTTTAAAATTGGGAAAGAAACAGGCAAACTATTTTCCATGGATGGAGGAAGAGGTCTACTAAGTGCAAAAGTAGACAAATATGTATTTCAAGGAATTGACAATAGATATATATAATAATATAATATATATAATAATTTAATACTCTAATGCAGAAGATATAAAAATCTGATTTGTTTCATAATAATAAAAAAAACTTGCATTGCATAAATACCAACATTTATGTCTACCAAATTGATCTGGCTTGTTATGAGTAATGACATAAGACTAATGTGCGTTAATCATACTTACTCATCAAGACATCTGGAGCACCTGCCAACAACTGGTAGAAGATGTGGAAATTACGTTCTCCAGCAGCCTGGGTTACAACCCTCGACTTCTCCAGTAAATCTTATATTTTAAAGTGAAAAATTTCATTTTAGTCACAAATACAATTTTAAAGCATGGTTGTTGAGTTGAGATTTTCGCAATTGGGGTGAGAAATAATTCATAAGAGTCACTTACAATTTGTGATAACGCCACCCATAGGGTCACCTTTGAAGTCAAATTCAATGTCCATATATTTTCCCTGAAATATATTTAAAAGCATAATATAAATTAATTTGAAAGTACAGTCATAAACCACTATTCTAAATAGTTTATTCAAGTTATATTACATATCTAAACTTTTACCTGACTAACATGGTAACCTAAGTTTTATCTTGCCAATGACAAATTACAATACAGGGGCATGTGCCACATGCAACATCCATTCTTCATATGATGTCATATCATGACCATATTTGGGCAAACCTCAGTTATTTGTCACATAAACTAAATTTGATTGTGTGGATCACAGAGCATAAAATGCTATCTGGCTCAGCATTCTATAAGACTATAAGTATTGCTACTTGTACATGTCAAAAAAAAAAAAAAAAAAAAAAAAAAATCAATTTTTAAGTATAGAAATTGTGTATTTTCTATTAAAGTTCACCAGCGATTAATGTCAGTCAGCAACGCTAAGCCTTTAAGTCTCTATTCAGTGATTGATTTTTAGGATAAATGATTTAACAGATAGATTTGATCATTCTCCATGCTATAAACACTACTACCGTTACTCAGTACCGTGAGTAATGACTTACAATTTGTCTGCATTACCAGCAGTATATTAAATCTCTGCTTTACCCATTAAACTGGTTCCTTTTACTATTAGATTAAAATACAACACTAAGGCCTACATGGTGGAACATTGTGATGTTTCATACAAAATATACACTTGCTGAAGTTAAATATGATGGCAACTTTGCTACCTAATGAGAGCCCTTGCTTGGCTAAAGAGATTTCACCTTTACCAGACTGATGAGCCTCAGACAGGCTACAGATGACTGTGCACCCCTGGATAGAATGACATTAATTACCCAAGCGGCCTGAGGTAGAAATTATGACACTTCAGAAACCTACACTGACCACAGTGCTGGGAACAAATTACAGACATTACCTGTTATACAATGATACATATAGCAGGTGCAATCATTCAAAATAGAAACTGGGCTATGTTACCAAAAACCAGTAGGACACATTAGGCTGTGTTTTTTTAGGCCTAGGCAATATTCAGCATTGTCTTACAGATCACTGTGCTCAATACGCTCGAATATGTTGACATAGGCAAAGCATTGGCACGCATTGTCAACCTTCAATGGCCACTACCGGTCCCAATGGACATCGACGTTACTGGAACAGAGGTAACTGATGGCATCGCACTTTCATTAAATTTTTATAGTAGGCCTACTTGAATATAAACACAAGGGTGACTAACCTAGGGTTCAATGCTATCTTCTCAAATGGAAGAGGGAAATGATCAATAAGATACGGACAAAGCAATGAAGAATGGCTTACTGGTTGTGGTTATTGTACCTGGTTTTTAATACCATAATTGGTTTAATTTTTTAGTATGACACCGAATTATATCCTCTTTTTAAAATGAGGATCATCAATAGTTATAATGGACACCGAGCTCAAATTATCTATATATGCTTGCATTTTCATGGGACTAAGAATAAGAATTACTTACTTTTAATACATGTAAAAATTAACTTATTCATTTTAATTAGGTCAAGAAAATGTGAAATATTAAGTGAATTTTTAAGGGGTTGTAGATTTTTACCAGAGAGTACTGTACTATTTGATTAGGTCTGAGAAGGTGCTAGATTCAAATAAAGAAACTGAATTCCAAATCCTGAAATACCAATTAACAATCCTTACTGCCAAGCCTTTTTAATTATTTTATATAGCATCACACAGTTCCATTCAATTTTTACTGTTGGATGTAAATAAAATATAACAGAAATATAATTTTATTAAATAATCTATTTGTCCCTCATGAATTTGATACTCACAAATCTTGATGAGTTGTCATTTCGATTTGTCTTTGCATTTCCAAAAGCTGTAAGAAAAAAAAACACATAAAATGCATAATAAATACCTTAATCTTTTAAAAACAAACTAATATAATTAGAATTATAAATATTAATGAAACAGCATTAGAAAAATCTAATTTGTCAGTCATACATATTATTATCAACTATAAACATTTATTTCATTGTTTATCATACATATTTATAACTTTTTAAATAATTTCTCATCTTGAAACTTAATATCTATCTCATATGTCAAAAAAAAAGTAATCTGTTGCACTATCTACCATTATCACATATAAAGATTTCTCCTGTCCACTCAAAAACGTCCGTATCCAATTTCCAGGCAACTTTAAATCTTGCCACGCAAGCAACTTTACACCCTTTCATTGATTAATAACCCATAATTGAGTTGTGAAAATGAGACATCTTAGTGCTTTGCCTCTAGGCATAATAGATAAGATAACATCTCTGGATCACCATCAGTTAATCATTGCTGAATTTGCCTACCAATCTAGAGCCCCAACGCACACATACTAGATCAAGGAAACCTTTAGGCCGTGAGGTGTTTTAATATACAGCACACAACAGTAGAAGATTCAACTAATTTTATACAAAACTACAACGTCTTAGATATCAAAATAAAACAATTATGTTTTATAGTTCATAGTTGACATCAGTTGACAGGTCAGATAATTGAAATAGATTTACGATACATGATCTACAGATGGCATATAGCTACCGTAATTCTCAAAATCTCAAAGCTAGTTCTTAATCAAATGAAGAGAACATGGTTTAAATGTGAATAAATAAATAAATAAATGTTGATTTTTTTTTCAGTCATTTATTTTTAAAATAAAATATGTCACCATTTACATCTATAACCATATTAGTGAAAATCTATTAAATAAATCAAATAATGATGAAACAATAAAATACCACCCATGGTTGACGCGAGTTTTGCTAAACTTTTAAGTTGATAGTTCTTGATTTTTACTGTGTGCACTTCTTACTTTAATTCTTGTTGCAATTTGAATTATTTTATTGTTTTTTTATTTGTTTAAATGACACTTTTGTGTGTTTTTGTTTAAAGTAAATTTTATTAAAAATTCATAAAAAAACAAATTAAATTAAGTTTCGGCTAATTAAATGATTAGAGTTAATATTGCTCATAAATGAAGGTAATTAATTTACAATATTAATAACTACTTTCTAATGTCTTTAATTTGGACAATCTGTAGATTTTTTAAAAAGAGCAAAATTTATTATTCAAACACGAATTTCTTTAAAGTCAAGTAGTTGACTTAACCTTTCTGATTTAAGACTACTACACACTTGTGGGCAACCTGTCTCAACAATCCATCCATAAATTAGCTTCAATCTCCTTCAGTCTCCCTTAACGATGATCCTGTTGTCATAACAATCATCATGTTAGCTCTCCTTCACTTTCTCCCACTTACCCTCAAGAACAGGATTACTCTGCAGAAGCTGCTCTTTCACAGTATCAACATCCTTTCCCTTACCGCAAACCGCTGCCACGTACTGCATAACAATCTTACTTGCCTCTGTCAAGATTGAATTTACGAGTTACTTAAGTATTGTCGCCTTACAAAACATATAACATGTGTAGAATAATCAGGATTTAGTAAAGAAAAAAACCAGACGAAGATATTATATAAGTAGCAGACAAGTACACATACATAAAATGACATTTACAACGAAAAGGATTACAGAAGCTTTCAAGTGACTGACCTGTTTTTCCTGCGCCAGACTCGCCAGAGATTATGACGCATTGATCGCGGTTCTTATCCCTCATTGCTCGGTAAGCATCGTCTGTTATTGCGTATCTAAAAGGAGATAAAAATAGAGTAGTGACTATCTTCAAAATGGTACATGCTATGACTGTATGATATGACCATAGTGTGCAATGACCACAGTATGGTGCATGGTACAATGTAAACATGGTATGACTATTATATGACAAGTCCATGTTATGATGACATGATGGATATGACTGATCATGGTATATATGATACAACTTGGTAGGATGACGAGTGCTTTTGTATTTAAGTACCTGTAAATTTTTACTTACATGTGTGGTGGTAACTCGTATAGGTTCATCCCTCTGTACTCGCTTATCTTGTTTTGAGAAAAGAGAGGAAGGGGCTTGTAGGGATTCACTGATACAACCACTTTTCCGATGTAGGTCTATATGAGTAATACAAATGAGAGTCAGCTTATTTTAATAGCTTTTGTTAATGTGTTTGATAACTTAAGTAGGCCTATTTAGTAAAACCTATGTAAATTACCACAATCAAGAAGATTAGGAATATTCAAATTTACTGATTCATAAGAACATTAAATTTAAATTAAGGAAGATTAAAATAATCATATAATTGTGAACCTTACTTTAACACTGGTACTGGTCTTTGTAACCGTGATACTGGTCCACATGTGGCTATTGACTGTATACTTTACAGTTAGTGCTTATAAGTTATAGACACTACATTTAATGCTCAAGTTTACTGAACCAAACAACTGTTTCAGCATTGTGTCATGAATGACACACAACCACGAAAAGCAATAAAAATCTTAACTTACAAAACTTGAAAACAGAAATATGAAATATACATAGGAAAATAACAAATCTATGCAATGTAAAAAGAGGTATAGACAGCAAATGTGACTCTCCCACCCCTCCCCCCTACCAAAACATTGCTGGAGTTCTGAGCACAAGGAATTTAATCTAAATTACTGGGTTGATGTTTTATTTCTTTTTAGATGATCCAATTAATATTTATGAAGAATATTAAGAAAAAACGTACTCACACGACTACAACAACCCAATATTCAATACCCAATATTTACCCAATATTTATTATTGAATCCACATGAATTTTTTCAATTAATCTGAATTGCTTTTCTCTACCTAGGAATATAAAAGGGTACAGTACCTGGTATGGTTGACTGCTACTGCGCTGATGCGGCAGCAACCAATAAGCATTTGGACCTAATAATCAGAGAACCAAAACTACTTCGCAACCAAAAGGAAAGGCTAAGATATCATAAAATACTAATAAATCTATAATGATAAGGCACCACAGAACTCATGCAAGAGCTGCATTTAAAATCGTGTTTGGTGAGCTAGCACTTATTCGAGAGGGGAACTTATCAATCATTTTTTTAGTAAAAATGTATTAAGTATGCAAATGATACTTTAAACATGCATAAAAGGTTAACTCATCATCAATCATTTTTTTAATAAAAATGTATTAAGTATTCACAAATGATACTTTAAACATGCATAAAAGGTTAACTCATCATCAATGTTTTATTTATTGATATTTGCTGAGTCACCACATACCATATTGGCTATCATTAAAAAATTTGTATAAAACATTTAAAAAGGACAGATTTTTTTAGAAACTGCACACTATTGTTAATTATTTTAGTCTGAAAGTAAACTGAAATGTATATGATTATTAGCATATAGTAAAGTATACCATTTTATACGTAGTACTGTATATCAATTGGAATATACAATTTTAAAGAATGTCAACCTTCCGAAACGGAATGTGAACCCCTGACTTAACTAAAGGACCATTATTATAGGAATGCTTGAATAGTGCAGACAATACACTGCAGCTGATGGCATCAGGACATAAATCAGTATGTTCATAATCATAGCAAGTGTAGGGATTAAATAAAAGGTTGGAATCCGCCATGATACAAAGGTTGTATTCTTTAGTCTACTGGGTATGGAATCCTCAACAATATGTGTGAATGAGGATAGGTTTGAACTTGGTCAGGGTTGGAGAGAAGATTTAATTTAGGTTCTTCTAAATTTAATTTGACAATATTTTGATATTTTATAATTGTAATAAGGATTCTATTTCAACAAAGATAAATGTAAATTAATATTAATAATAGATCAAAAGCTTCATATGTCCTTTATTCAGATTATAACTATTCCTTGGCTTTACTGTACATGATAATACAATAATAAATTATTTGATAATTTCAAGAGATATCCTATAAAAAAACTGGGATATAATTCTAGTACTACTCTGTAATCAATATTTGTTAATGTTATCACACCATCCAACCTAGATAGAGTAAATGTGTGCATAAAGGTCATTGGTCTCATTATGATATTGATATATGATAGCTTCCATTAAAACTTTAGCAGACTATTTATTAGAGTAGGCTCATTGTATTATATTTTAATTAATTTTATGGTATAATTTGTACTATAAAAACTCCAGTGCCATTGTAATCGTACCATCCAGAATGTTAGAAAACAAAAATGTATAGTCATCAAATAATTAATAGCAGACTTTAAGTCCTAGTTATTAGCAGACTATAATAGTGAATTTATTTGACCTTTAGACTCTAAAATTTTGGTCATCCATTTATAACAGATTAATAAAACTTACTGAAGACCAGACTACTGTATTGAGAATGGGTTTTATTTTTTAGCAGATTATCAAAAATTCTGGCTTTATGCAGTAATCCATCAGAATTGACTCCAAAGCTACATTCATATCAGATCCAAACTAAAATTCGGACGGCGTTTCCGAAGCGCTAAATGCAGTGCCCATATTCTTACACACCGTTTCGACTTTCTGATTACTTCGGTAGGCTTCCTAATCTGAAAATTCAGATTTGGTGTGAATACACCTTTAGCAGACTAAGAGAGATATTCTTTTCACAGCAGATGTTTCTGAAAATCCATCTATAGAAATCTATGTCTTTAGATAAAAATCATCTGTGTTGTAGTCATCCATTCTAGGTAGACAAGAGGCTTAATATTGGCACTTTTAGCATATAATCAAAGATGGTTTGATTTCCCTGCAGAGTATTTGAATTTCAGTACGTAACACAAAATTAAATCGGTAAATAATTGTTGGCCAATAAAAATGTTATTCAACAAATGTTTAGGTAGAAATTAATGCAAAAAGAAATTTTTAATAATTACAGTACTTTATATTGTTAATACTAAATAGTGAAATGTTAACAGAAGATATGGTTTCTATTACTGAAAAACAATAATGGGGTTACATTTTATTAAAGTACCTTATATATTTAGTGTAAAATGTCTCAAATCACTTTGGAGTCTCAATTCAAACTGGAGTTCTTTTATGATCCAAACTATACCATAAAATTACTTAAAACATAATACAAAAGAACTACTCCATACATTGTTAATACTAAATAATGAAATATTAACAGAATATATGGTTTTTATTGGGGTTACATTATATTATAGTAGCTATATAGTCAGTCTAAAATGTCTCAAATCACTTTTAAAATTTGTTTTAAAATAAATCACATCAATAGGCCCATAACTAAGCAAATACTGAAATGTTAACAGAAAATATGGTTTTTATTACTGAAAAAAAATTGGGGTTACATTATATTATAGTACCTATATATTCAGTCTAAAATGTCTCAAATCACTTTTAAAATCTGTTTTAAAATAAATCACATCAAAAGGCCTTCAACTAAGCAAAAACAGTCTGCTTTAGAAATCTGAGTATTCAAACAGAATACATCTTAACTATGGTAAAGTGGTGGTAAATGATGATCTCATGGAGATTTGGCATTTTTGTTTTGTTGTGCTACAATACAATGTTTCTATCACACTGCGGATATATTTAAAGCACATACAAGTTTTTCTTGTACATTATTATACACCATTTCTATATAACTGTATAATAATTATTGTTATATTTCATATACTCACATATATCTCATTTGCTTTGAATCTTTTTTGTAAGTTTTCCACAAATCCATCTTCCGTCAACGGTTCAAGTAGAACACAGTCGCTGACACCAACCATATTGTCAAGTAACGACATCATCGCGCCATCTCCAGCCCGCGACGGGCCGTTAGAAAGCGCCATATTCTAGCTGTGACAAATCAAATCTGAAAGAAAGAGGTGAAACATTTTGTTTACCATAATGTGTACAAAATAAGATTAAAGTTAATTTTGGTAAATTCTAAAATTCTAAAATTGAATTGCTCAGGTAAAAAGATTAAATATGTTATCAGTTTTCTATCAAACACAGATTAAAAGAATTTAGTTTTACCTGAGTTTGATTTTTAATTAAATATTTAATTGATAACAACATAAAGAACACACAGTAGTGTTATTTATGTATCTGTGAATTTGCAAGGAAATATTTTGTTATAACTTACTAATATGAAATCATTAATTCCAATTGAAAAATTTAATGTTTGTTCAGGTTTATCTGTTATACTGTACACAAACATTATATCTTCAACAACAAAATATTGGTTGATACTTGGGGACATTAAAGGAGACTTGAATATGAGTATAAGAGTACAATATACAAAGTGACTGATACAAAAACCTTAAAATAAGAAAAATATCCAAATAGTTTTCTATTTTTGCACCAATATGGGAATTTAAGAAAACCCTGATAAATATTGTACTCAAAATCATTTTTAATGGATGTTGTTATAATAAAATGTCTTGTGAAACAAACAAAATATTTTACAAAACTGATTAAAGGGTAATCTAATGAAATAGCAACTTTTGTATTTTAATATAATGTACAATGTAAAGTACCAGACCCAATTAAAAAAGCATTAAATAATTCAAAATTAAGTAACACATATTACAAAAATACAGTATATCATAGTATAGTTGCATAAAATTTACTATATGAATGTAGGTGTATTTAAGAAGAATTTATTCTGAATAGAAAACCTTTACAAATGAAACAGGGCAAAAAAAATATTTTTATTATGAAAAACAAAACTACAACCATAGGATTGACTATATGAATAAGTAGTCAAGAATGCCCATATAATGTAACATATTCACATCATTCACAGAGCTGAGTTGGTAATTCTTAAGAATGTGATTTGAAAAGTGCTTTAGTCTTTGGAGCAGCGATGAGTCTGACATTTAAGGAGACTCCTAACACGTAGCAATCAGCCCCGCGGGTGGTGACATGGTACCCAGTTTAAATTTCATGAAGGGTGCACCAAAACAATAACTGTCACAACATTCAGGTTATTTTCCAATTACCTAAGCCACTATGACCTACATTCTGCGGTAACTATAGGTACCACATACTATTCATCAATGGGGTAGGCAGGCCTACAGATTTGCTAGGCATGAAGGTAATATAAAATGGTTATTTTTTCATGTGAATAAATCTAGTAATATCATATCATTCATGTCCTTTATCTTATGAGAATATTAATAAAATGTCAGTTTAATATATAATAAATTTCAGGGCTTAATTACCTATTTAAAATATATATATATATATTTGTTATTAAAAATGATTGAATCTGATTGTTACATTTTTCCTCAAAATGCACTCTACTTTTTTTGTTGGATAGAATAGTCAGATGCCATTTCACTCAAGCTCCTTTGAGTTCTGTTCCAGCGAGCTCTCAATTATGGGAGCATCAAAGTGCTGGAGAACGGAGCGGTGAAAAGGGTTCCTCTGCCTTTTTCTTTTTTTGGTTACTAGCTGTTATTATATTTTATGACGTCATTCCTTTTTTTCAAGTTCTTTTATGTGGAAAGAAGCATTGTTTTGCATTAAGCACTCTATAAGACTAACATTATTATTATTATTAATGTTATTTATGTTGATGTTATATTTTTTACAGTATTGTTTAGCTTAACATAGCAAACAAAACAAGACAGGAACAGCAAACAAAACAAATAAAAAAGGACCATTTGTCCATTTGTTTGCTACACGTAGCTCTAAGTTTGCGCATGAACTTTTACAGAAAAGCAATTAATGATATAGACCTATAATATAAAAACATACAATCTATATACATCAAAATAGTTTATCAATGTATGGTGGGAAAGTCCATCCTCCAATGATAATTCATGTTATGGTAAACATTATATTACTGTAAAACAGTTTTGAATAGGCCTATACCTATATCATAAAATTGGGGTGAGTTCAAATCATGAACTCCTTCATACCACCAAAACCTTGAGATGTTTTTTACACCATTTACTTCAATCTTGTACTGTAATTGGTAAGTTGGATAAGACGGAAATACAATTTAAACAATTTCCAAAATTGTATAAATAAAATTTTATCAATTTAAAAAAACACCTCATCTCTGGAAAACCCATATCAAAAATCCTCTTTTCAAACAGGTTGATAACCTCGTTCAACAGAATACAGTAATAGAATCAGAATTATGTATTTCTCTGTATTATCTTGGAATGTCAAATCTTGATATCATATTCAGGCCCCTGTGAAACAAAATACCCAAATTTAAATGACTAATCTCATATAGACATATTGCTATCAAATGGTGTAGAATTAAATTTAAAAGAATCAATCAGCTAAAAGGGTATTGACTTACTAGCAAACGAACCAGAAAAACAATATGATTTGATTTTTCCCCCTTCTATTTCACTTATTGTACCAAAGAAAACAACACATAAAATACCAAAAAATATCTCTATCATAATGAGACTTTATAAGTTTATAAGGAATTGTTCCATTCTATCATTGACAGGTATGCTTGATACTATATGTCAAATAAATAAATTTAAAAACACATTTAATAAATTGAGTAGTCCATTAAAATAATAGTCATAATATGTTCTGTAAATTTAAAAACTGCTACCATAAATGAAACATTTGCATTTCTCCATTTTTTAGATGTACATTTTTAGCATTGAACAAAATGATAAATATTATTGATGTGATGTACTTGCTTATTTCAAGTCAATCATACAGAAGCCAAACACCATTTTTGGACAAAAAACAATCTACAATTTGAATACTGAAACATATTTCACATGGATGATCAGACCCATATGTCAACTTACACAAATCTTCAAAACAAAAATTAAATAGAACTTTGTAGAACACTATAATATTTTTGTATTTTTAAATATCTATATTTATTATTGATCATCAGTTTTAAGAGTATTACTTAGATTTATAGGAAAATATTTATAATAAATAATTGAATAGTCTCAAAATTAAATCTCAACGTTTAAAAAAATTAAAAGAATTTGAGGATATTGAAGATATATCACATAATAAATCAAATAAATAAAAGTATAAAATCACAATCTTAAAATATGAACAAATAAACTAAGTAAACATTATTAAAGAAATCTACTGTAAGATAAAAGAAGACACAAAAATGCTGCTTTGTATGTGTAAACATTAGAAGGGTAATTGATAGACAGGTAAATTGGATACCTAGGGAGTGTTTGTTGATTTAGCTGAAGACCAATACAAGCAGGTTAAATGGAGTCAATCTCATCTTGGCCAACAGACACATGATAATTGATTATGAAATGCTAAAGTTCTTGGTGCCACTGCCAAACCACATAAACTTCTTGAGCATTATTAAATTCTTTAAATTTATTTTGTGTGTATATACTATACTATTTTATTTCATTAACATCCGACAGCTCTAGCAAATTATGGGATGGAATGATGCTCTATAAACTCTTTCTCAAGACTTTAGAGTGGTGTTTTCCTGGAGACAGTTCAACTTCAACAATATGATCATAAACAAAATTTACTAAGCTATTCTTCAGCATTGTGAATTGTTTAGTATGTATTAAATATACATAAATACTACTGTAATGTTCTTTACATAATATTGTCTTCTAACATAAATTTACAGCCTGTCATAAATAAAAAAAAATATCCATCTTCAATTTTTCTCAATATGTGGTAACTTGCCACGATTGTTGAAAGAAACAATGGTTTTCATATTATCCAATATTTTTGTTTATATATTTGTAGTTTTCTTATTCCCGTTTTAGCAAACTTTAGAAAAGTACAGTATGTGTTCAATAACTAAGACCAAAGCAAAAAAAAACAAAAAAAAAACAACTGTTATTCCACTTCCAATTTCCATTTTTTATTATGTTTTTATTTTTCATATAGAAGTTTACTTTAGGAGCTATAATGAAATCCAACAGTTGAATACAGTAAGTTATACATTGTGGTATGCAAAAGAAATATGAGAATTTTGCGGGTTCAGTTGTGTCTTTTCCAACTACAATATAATTGTAACTTCCAAAGGGAGACAAACCTAAAAATGAATCCCTTTGGATATTTTGCAGACCACAAAATATAACAATCACTGTATATTGATTTGCAGCTGATGAACACTTTGACAATAATGCACTTCAACAGTAACTATCCTAGCCAGCTAACATCATTTGAGTTTATTTTTAGCTGACTTTGCATACCTTCATGTACAGTACATTATACCTCTTACCAAGAAATAATAAATACTGAAAATTACGTCAATGTACTAACATTTCTAAGAACGAAAAGAAACTCCCTTTGTAATACTTTAAACCAATTTTTTTTCGTCACCTTTTTATTTATTTATTTATTTTTTTCATATCAACTGGATGTTTATCCTCATGCAAACATGAAGATAGTTTCAATTTGCAATCTTCCACCAAAGAATGCCAATCATAAAATACCACTTTATATTAAATGTAACTAACAAAACTACATTTTCTTGAATCATTTTAAATCTCTATCTTTCTATTAATATCAAATACAAGTTCATATATTTATTTTTGAATTTTAAAAGTTTAAAAAATAAGATTAACTAGCATATACTTGTGCTCCGCACGGTGTTGAATGAGTGGGGAAAGGTGGCAATGTATATGGTTGAATGTTATGGGAAGTCAAGGAGGCAATCGTGGATGTTATGGTTAGCATGTTATTATTTTTTCAAAAGGACGTCTTTGTAAATAATGTTTTGAGTGTCTTTGCGAAGTCCTTGTGCTGTGAGTAATTATTGTGCAGTTTGATGAAGGGCGGATCCAGAATATTTGAATTTTTCGCTTGGGGCGAAAAAATCAGATACTGCCTCGCTTAAGCAAAAAAGCAAAGATTGCACCAAGCTAAAAAAAAAACAAACTA